TGGGTGGGTGGGCATGCCAGACTTGGCTGTTGTATTTGTCCCCTAACTTCATTTTTCTGAAGCATGGGGTTCCTGTGATAAACTAATTAAATGATACTGTTGATGATAAAAAAATAAAAATAAAAAATAACTTTGTATTGCTGATTGTGAAAGAAAAAACAAAATCATAAATAAGGTAATTTGTAAAATACCTTCTTCTGTTAAAGTTTTGGATTCTGCTGAAATAAGCTCAAAGACCTCAATGGCATTGATAATGGCACTTCCTTTGGTAGGGTTCATGGTTATTGTCAAAGTCCTCCCATTGATAGCAACTGTCTTGTTCAACACAATAGCTGTGTAAGTATCCCCACTCATGCCAATAATGTCAACATCTTTAAATGCAATATCACCATTTATGAGGATATCAAAAACCCTTTGTCCTACATTTGTGATGCCAGCATCAATCTCCGCAAAGTGCAACCAAATTGAGTAGTTTCTGTTAGGCTCCACATCCATACTATATGATAAATCTGGCTGACCATCAGTACCAATAATAGCTGTCTGATAAATCTCCTTTGGATAGAAGTTAGGTGACGAATAAGCTTTCCTGATGCTGTTTTGATTAGATCTAATCTTATCAGAACCCTGGCCAAAAGATGTAACTTTTTGCCAAAATCTGTCCCCACCCCAGTGATGCCCATCATAATCTGCATCAAATTTCGCCAACCCAGAACCACAGTTGAGTCTTTTGGCTGTCCTCAAGATTGTCCCTTGACCCCAGCCCGGCCCATAATAATATGCTTTGTCATCAACTTGAAGAATCTCAATTGAAAGAATAGCAGGATCTCCATGCCCAGTGCTATGAACACAAGAAGAGACCGTACCATCTGGAACAAATACTAGAGCTTCAGCAAATGATTGATCCTCAGTGGTACTCCAACCTGATTCTAAAGAATATATCTGAGTTCCTTCAATAGACACATCAAACAAAGGTTCACTCTCAAAATTAGGGTCTGCAACCAACCCAAAGAAGATTCTCACTGAATAGTGCCCATTGGGTACTCTCTTGATATTATAGCAATTCTCTGGACCATCAGAGAGAGTGAAATAGCGAAGTGTTTTAAGTGGAGGAACAATGTTATTTATTAGTGATGCATTTCCCGGCCTTCCTCCAGTATAACCAAAGTCCTTGTACCAGAGAGTATTGGTTGGTGGGGTGTGAACATTAAGTCGAGCCCCACAGCTTATGCGCATAGCAAATGGCTCTGCAAACAACAAAACCCATTCAAAATTTGTCTATTAACCAAGATAAGAAGAAAAACAAGAGCACCAAAGAAAAGATATGTTTCTCTGATTTTGTAGTAAGCCTTTTTTTTTCTTATCAATAGATTTTTAGTGATGCCGTGACAAAGCACAAGTAGGCCTTGCCTATGTGGCTCTAGTCTAGGACCATACCCAGAGGATTTCATTACTATTAAGGAGCCCTAGAACTATAATAGGGCTTTCTATAAGCCCAGTACCATGCCCAAATTGAAGCATACATGTAAGCCCATTCTATCAGGCTCATAATGAATAAGGTAGAGAAAGAGCATTCCTAAGAATTCTAAATGTTCGATATTTCGCAATTTTTGTTTTGTTGCTTTGTAAGATAACAACACCTCCTATAAAAAGTATCGCACCCCAATTGCTATTTTGGTTAAAGAAATTTTTCTAATTTGTTTCTGTAATTTTGTTGCCATTTGAGAAAGAAGCAAGAGTTTTCTAGTTATCCATCTTATCCCTTCTCTCTGTTGGGGATGATTTTGGAGAAGGCACCACTTCAGCAAGTAAGATGCCAGCTGGCAGCAGAGCAGAAAGACGAACAAGCAATAAGAGATATTTGGTTAGTTCAGTTTGGAGGTTGGACTCAAAAGGACTACAAATGCACTGACACTGTCTCTAGTAGGAGTGCAACACGAGTTGGGCTGGGTTGGGTTGAGTATTTGTCAAATTATGAATGGAACCAAGCACAATATAATTGAAATTCTTCAACTTAGGTTGAACACTTTGGTTTTTCGGCTGGTTGAGTATGAAGCTGAGGGTTATTTTCTTGTCTTTGCTTTTGCTATATGAGGTTTATAATTTGGTATTACTGTATTCGGGTGATGTATTTTGAGAACATATAAGCAAAGAGTGTCGTTTTGCTTAAACTACCTCGGCTAGATGAGGACTCAGTCCATTGTTCAGGGTCACACCCCTCTAACCTAAAGACATCTAGCGAAATAAAGAGTGTAGATGATGTGGGAACACATTCTGATGCTCATTAAATGCATTTTCCATCATTTCTCTCCTTGCAATTAATGAGAGGGGCAGGTATGTATAAGAATATAAAATACTCCAGCCCAATGGTTAAGATGAATCAGCCATTGGGCTGATTCTCTCCTTGCAGTTAATGAGAGGGGAAGGCGCGTGCAAGAGTATTAAATACTCCAGCCAAACAGTTAAGATGAAACAGCCATTGAGCCGATTGAGGGGGTTGTTAGAGATTGTAATAGCAATATCTGTCTCAGTTGCTATGGACCAATTAGAAAGGACATTGCTCTAAGGCAAGGAATTCTTGCCCTCATCCGTGATCTAAAGTTTTTTCAATGGATGGAAGGAATTAATACTGGAGGGAGTCAGGGAGATGGAGATTGCCAAACTGTTATTACATTTATGCAATCTTCTGAGAATATTCCTTGGCGTTACAGACCTTTTGGTCAGACAGGCTCAAGCATTGGGAAGTCAATTGAAATGCTTGCTCAAGTGGATTCCAAGGTCTGAAAATGTTATGGCAGATGCTTTGGCAAGGACAGGGGTAGCTAGAGATTGTATTCTTTGGGGAACTCATGGGCCAGTCTTAAATGTGTAATTTTTATAGTAGTTATCAAGGCTTCTCTTTTTCTCTTCCTTTCCGTTTTGGTTTTGAGTAGGAAGGCTCCTATTATGAATGAAATCATTTTATGTTATTGATCAAAAAATTGTTAAGATGAATCAGAAAGCTAGTCTCAATCAACATGATGGTAAGAACTAGTTGTTACCAAGTCTTGACACCTCAATAGTTCAAATTGCTGGCAAGAGGACAGGGAAGTGGCTTATTACACAAATAATTACCATGGGAAGGAAAGATCTTGTGGGCAACATATGTTACTCTCACCTAATTCACCTCTTTACCTCTCCCTCCTCCTTTATCCCTGGGCTTACAGCTAATCAGCTGTGTCAAATCACAGACCAAGGACCCAATACCAGTTTGGTGTGGCCACTCTAAAACCTTCAGGACATGCACTGCCGCAAAAACCACTGAGCGCAGTGCCCTGTGATGGGATTCCCCTTCCACATTATTTTGTGTCCTTTCTTCTTTTTATTTTCTTTCAATTTGGGGGAATCAACCATTAAAGTACCTTCAATCTCTCATTAATTTTACAAATTAAGGAACCCAATCACCTCGGGTTCCATGCCAACATCAAGTTCCTCTGGAGTAGAAATGGAACTGCTAAATCTTAACTTGTCTTCTAACAACTGGAATTTCTAAATAAGCAAAGAAAACCATTAAATGGACTCATTTATTAAAATTCTTAGTGAAGAGTTAAAGCATTACTGGTCACTCACTCAGTCATGTAATTTGTATAACATTGCACTATCTTGTATTATAATTCAATAAATTTCTTTCTAACAAGCTATTTCATCTCGTCTGAATTAAATTTAAATGCTCGAGAAGTTGTCAACTTAACTTGTTCAAGAAGTTGATAAAATTTCAGGGTTACTGCAATGGTAAAAACCCACACTGACAAGTATGAGAATGTGAATTAAACTCTGACAGTTTTCACACCATCAAAGAAAATTTTAAAAGCTAAGCCTGTATCCAGTCCACTACCCTTCCCCATACCCTGGATAGCTGGGACCAAGGTTGAGTAATGATCCTTTTTCACTTAGTCAAAAACTTATTAGCTTCACAAAAATCCCTACGACTTGTATTCATGTGCGAGAAGGACTAATTGCCACTTAACCCATTTGTTCACTAGTAACCTGAAGTGCAGTGAACGACGCCCCCAACCAAAAAAAGTAAAGAAAATAAAAGGAAGAATGAGAAGGAAAACATAGTAAAATGTTCGCCCAATTTCAGGTTTGCCACTTAATCAGGTCAGCAAATAGCTCTTATTGGTATGAACTAGCAGAAAACCAAGTAAAAGTGGACCATCTTAGCAAGCAACTCAGCAGTACTTGATAAATCTTATTTTCTAAATCCATAAGCTAATTTTCTTCAAAGCTCGTAAGTATGTTTTGAGCGATATATTGTTCTTATTTGATCAAGAAAACCAGGAGAGGGGATACTAGAGCCCTTTCTGCTTTTTTATATAATTATCGGGTTCTCAATGTAAATTTCAACTTTTTGTCAGTGTGAGCCTGTGTAGAACTAAAGTAAGGGTATTCAAACTAATAAAAAGACTCCACCATTTAACACCTCATGGAAATGGATTCATGCATAAAACAAACGCTAATCTGCTAAGTGAACTAGATCCATCAAGATTCATACAGAACTCGTTTTGGGTCACCAGAAACTCAAAACTTCAACAATGAAGACTCGCCCGCTATCAACATCAATAGAACTAAATAAGTGAAAATAAATCATGTAGAGAGAGCGTGCGCGAGAGAGAGAGAGAGAGATTATTTTACTTACCAGGCCGAGGAGAAGAAGGATGCAGAGTCGAGAACAGGGTGAGCAACAGTAATACTAGTTTGGACATCGTAGCTTCGAATGCCTGCTCTCGCCTTTTCCTCTGAACCCTCCACTTCTTTTTCACATTCTCTCTCTCTCTCTTCCTGTCTCTTCCTGGCTTTTGTATTTTTTGCTTTAGAGAGAGAGGGAGCATTAACGTGATAGCAGGTAGACAGGGTGTGTTTGTTTAATTGTTTATTAATAATCCGTTATTTTTTCTTCTCGTTGGCTCGTTGCGTCGTTTCTCGCTCGTGAATTGCAGCTGGGCAGGTGGGGACTCATCAATGAGTTCATACATAATATATCTGATTTCCATCATTCCCAATACACACTACCAGACCAGTCAAAAGTCAAAACATTGATTCAACCTTTAACGAACCATGATGACTCACTCATACTTCAATAATCATATCAATAAAGCTAAATGATGATGGCATCGATAGTTTCTGATTTAGGTCCCACTTTATGGGACAATCTCTCATCCAGCAGAAGGACGGCCCAGATCAATTGATGGACATTGTTGATTATGGATCTTAAGTGCATTGAAAAATATTTCTTATAGTTATCAGTTTAAAAGTGGGAAAAGTGGGAGACAAGTGAGAGGAGTTTGTCGTTTTCAGAAGGAAAAGCCACCCTGGTTCATTTCCTTTACATGAAACTAGGTAGTTGATGAATCCAACTGTAAGCATGTCTGATATCAAGCGTAGATTGTTGATCAGAGGGTGAGGATGGCTCCTTGGTTGGATTTGACCTGTAAATCATCCTTTTGACTTCGAAGCTTCTTAACTACTCCTTCTAAAGCGTGAGTTGTGCGCAACCATCGGAGCTGACATGTGGCGTACGGCGGATTCCGTGGCCCCGGGTAATATGGTGTGCGGCAGTATCACATCAAAATGGATTTCGAGACGGAATTAGATTATCCACGGGTGAGTCACCATCTGACGTGGCTGAATTAATGGCCACGTTCGGATCAATTCTCTAAGACTGATGTCATTAATTAAAAGGCCAGCTGTAAAAATTGGGCCCAGTTGGATCTATTTATCCATGACACGTGGCTAACAAGATAAAATGCAATGATACCTCCGTCATATTAAATCATCAATTCTTTCAATCCGTTCAATAGTTTTAGCTGTTTTTTATTTTAATTTTTTTTTATTTATTATCAAAAAAGGCCATTCATTCGAATCGGACAATCAAATCATTAACTCAAAAACCAATGCCCAAAATAGTTCCGATTCCAAATCGATTTTAAAACCTTGACCAATGCAAATGAAACTTCTACACAACAAAATGTAAAAAAACAAAACAAAACAAAAAATGATCGTTTAATATCTGTAAGTACGAATCAACTTGGAATATGGTTAGCTTTGTAGTAGGACATTGCCAAAGCTCCTATGTACCAACTCCAATTGATCCAGGAAATGATTGTGTTCTAATTTGTACTGACAAACTACCGAATAAGGCCAAAGCACTTAGAAAATCAAGGAGATTTTGGTATTCGACGAATTGTTTTTTTTTTTTTTTAATACACTAGCGTAGGGCCTACTTCGCAGGGGCTGTAATAAAATTGTAACATTTCTTAATAAGATACAATGGTTTCTTAATAAGAACTTATAATTATAAGTACTCAAGTTTTATACATATGCTCATTTTTTAAATATTGCTTTAATAAAATATCTCATATAAAAGAATACGATCATACAGTGATAGTTCTGAGTTCTACTTCATATCTGTCATTTGTTTTATATCGAGAATTCACAGTTGACCCAAATAATAGGACCGTTCAGTCCGAGAACCGTCCAAGCAATTAGTTCCATTTTACCCCAAACCCAGTCATTGGCAAAAAATCGTTGAATTAGTCAATGACCCATGGCCCGAGTGATCGAACCGTCGACCCGTTCAACGGTTTTGGCCATTTTTTAATTTTTTAAATTTTTTATGTTAGAACAAGCCATTCGTTCGAATTGGACAGTCGAACCGTCAACCTAAAAACCAGTGGCCAGAACGGTTTCATTTCCGGATTATTTTTTCTAGATGTCAATAATTAGACAAAATAACTTTGTAGTCATAGCCATGGAAAGGCCGGATATTGCAAGGGATTCCAAAACCTTGAAAGATAAATCCAAAGTGCCCTTAAACACAAAAAAAAAATGATGGTAAATCTACCAAACTGGAAAAGCCAAGGAAAAAAATCAGAATATCGAGTCCAAAGTTCCACTTTGAGATGGAGCTAAACATTTCGGCCTAGGAACCATCCAGGCAACCGGTTCCATTTTACCCCAATCCCGATCCCTAGCCAAAACCCATTGAATTGATCAACGACCCATTGACCCGGGCGGTCGACTTGTTGACCCGTTCAATGGTTTTGACCATTTTTTATTATTTTTTAATTGGGAACCATCCAGGCAATCGGTTCCATTTTATCCCAATCCCGATCCCTAGCCAAAAACTGTTGAATCGATCAACAACCCATTGACCCGGGCGGTCGAACCATCGACCTGTTGACCCGTTCAATGGTTTTTGGTTATTTTTCTTTTATTTTTTAATTTTTGTTGTTAAAACGGGTCATCCGTTTGAATTGGACGGTCGAACCATCGACCCAAAAACCAGTGGCCAAAACGGTTCCATTTTCAAGTCGTATGAGCCACATGCTTGAATGACATAACATGTATGTGCTTAATGGACCTCACACACTCAATTTTTTTCTCGTAATTTATGTTGCCAGAAGGGGCCGCCCGTTCGAACCGGACGATCGAACTGCCATTTTTTTATTTTTTTAATTGGGAATCGTCCAGGCAACCAGTTCCATTTTACCTCAATCCCGGTCCTTAGCCAAAAACCGTTGAATCGGTCAATGACCCATTTGACCCGAGCGGTTGAACCATTGACCCATTCAATGGTTTTGGTCATTTTTTTAATTTATGTTGTCAAAATGGGCTGTTCATTTGAATCGAATGGTTGAACCATCGACCCAAAAACCGGTGGCCATAACAGTTCCATTTTTGGGTCATATGAGTCACACACTTGAATGACATAACACATATGATACTGCTTAGTGGAACTCACACACTCAATTTTTTCCTTGTAATTTTTGTTGTCAGAATGGGCCATCCGTTTGAATCGTCAACCCAAAAACTGATAGCCAGAATAGATTTATAATTTTTTGCTTGTAATTTTTATTGTCAGAATAAGCCATTTGTTCGAACCGAACGGTCAAACTGTCAACCTGAAACTAGTGGCAAAAGGGGAGATCACCCCTATCCCTTTAATAGATATATATAAGATATAAGATGAAAATATATTTTAATGATAGGGGTATAAATGGAAGAATGAAATCAGGGTCCTTTGACGATAACATTATTATATAATATAATATATAAATATATATATATATATATATATATATATATATATAATTCAAGCATTTTAAGAGGGGATAGGATTGGAAATATGAAATTAGGGAGGGGTAGGATTAGAAATATAAAATCAGCATTTTAAGAGGTGATAAGATTGAAAATATGAAATTAGGGAGGGGTAGGATTGGAAATATAAATCAGGGTATTGGACGATGGACGCTCATTCATTTCTCTTTTTTATAAATGGGTAAGATATATATACATAAGATGGAAATATATTTTAATGACAGGGGTATAAATGGAAGAATTAAATCAGGGTCATTTGACGATAACATTGAAACAATCTTATTTTTATTAATAGGTAAGAAAAGAAATGGTTAGGAGCTTATTTTAAGCAAACCACAAGTGATATACAGTTCAAAATGGTATAACAGTCCTTTAATATTGAGTTATAATGATGATAAAATTTCAAAGGGTCATTGTTTGGGGTAATGGTAAAATTTCAGGTTAACAAGTGAGAGAATTAGGATTCAAGTTTGAGAATAGTGAAAAATGTTCAAGGTTAAGGGTCCGTTTGGTAAGTCTTTTTGAGAAGATCTTCTTGTAGCTCTGACAACCAAAAGACACATTGAGCTTTTGACATAAGATCTAGGCAGCCCAAAGACCATTTGGTAGACACACATCTTTCCCTACGCCTTTTCACGTCTTCACATGCAAGCATAAAAATGCAAAAGACACGAAAAACTTCATTTAGAGCTTCCTGAGATCAGCCCAAAATGGGCTTTTCACGTCTTTTTGGTGTTTCATCTTTTGGTGGCTAGATCTTCCGCGCGCCAAACAAAAATAGACCAAATTTCGGTTATTCTTATAAACAGCCAAAAAAACGTACAGAAAGACACACCAAACACGCCCTAAGTCTATATCTAGTACCCCTCCCTTCTTGAAGATAATGATTTTTTATTTCTTTTGAGAGAAAGCACATGCAAAGGACCTATCTCTAGATTGTGAAGCTAGATTCTTCACACATATTACAAAAAAGAGGTCACAAAAATAAACAAATAAATAAAGTCATTGAGTGGTTTAGAAAGGTGACTTTGGAGGTACACAAGAAGGATCCCTTTGTTTGTTACTTGTTAATTTTATTTATTTAAGAAAATGCATGTCTATTGTTTAGAGGGAAAGGTTGAGCTCCCCTCCATCATGTATGTGGACCATTTGGCAACAGCTGAAGTGGCTGAACAGCTTATTACCTTATCTTATAGTGAATAAGAGTGGTTGAGAGTTCTTGATGACTGAAGCTGAAGTTGGGTACGTTACCGTATCTTTGAATATTTTATTATTTAATTATTTTATTTATTAAAAGACAAAACAATAAATCATTCAGCTCAGCTTATTAAAACTAACACAAAATGACTGGCTATCAAACAAATAGATTGAGATTTTCTATGTGCAGTTATTATCAGCTAATAACAAATAAATAAATTTATAATTAAGAGCTAGTAGTTTTATCTTTCAGAACAACAGAATTTGCTGTATCCTTGGACTGAATGGACAAAAGAAACTTACAGCTTTAAAGAAACAAATCATTGTAACAAAGCTTATGTTCTGGTATATCTTATAGTTGTTCTAAGCCATTGCATGTCTCATAATCTTTTTTTTTTCATTTCTAACTTTCTTTTTTTACAGTAATTCACAGTTATCCACTGTGAAAGGAGTATCAAGATGAGAATATGAAAAAAGAAATGAAAAACGT